TTCGAAAATATCAAGTTTAGTCCCTAAGTTCAAAAAACCTCACGGATCGTCCCTGTGGTTTCAAAACTTTAACATTTGGTCCTTCCGGCTAACTCTGTTACCATTTAGCCGTTAAGTCAGGGGCATTTTTGGCATTTCACTACACAGGGACCATTTATGAGGTTTTCTATTACCTTTTTTTTAAATAAAAAATAAATAAAATTTAATATGCTTGGGTCCCACCCTCTCTCTCCCCCCTCTCTCTCTCTCTCTCTCTCTCTCTCTCGCTCTCTCTCTCTCTCTCTCTCGTGAATCAAGAAACTATACAGTCGACGGCTCTTCTGATGAAGCATCACCTTCTTTTTGGATCTTCAACAAAAAAAACTCGAAGTATAGGTGGAGGAGCAGGTCATATCGACTTGGCCGGAACCTGGATACAAGTAGGGTTGCTACACCTCCGTTTTTGTTCATGTTTGTTGGAAAAAACCATGGCAGCATAGGAATACCCAACTTCATGTGCAGTTGGAAAAGAAGAAACCCAATCAGAAGCATGTGTAGGAAGAAGCCCCAAAATTTTCAACTTCATCAGTTTGTAATTCCTCCAATGGCTCAGGTTCAACTAAAAATCCTATCTTCCTTATTGTGTCTTTTTACCATTTACTGGAAGAACAATGATTACATATTTTCCTTTATCTAAATCAGGATCAATGGTGGTGATATTATCTTCAACGAGACCTTTCATCTTCGAGAATCTACCACCCAGATTTTATGTTGGCATCTTGCATTCATTCCTCAGCTATCGGACTCCACACCAGACCAGTTTCGAAAGGAACCTACACACCATACCCATTTGCATGTTGAGTGCTTCCAGATTCTTTCTATGCTTTTGGAGAATTGATATGTAAAGGACAACATGGATTTAAACAAGAACCTCCAATCACGTATGCTATCTCTTCCATTCTTCTCCTTTTAAAAACGTAGGTACCTAATGAAGTCGATTTGTAATCAGGTTAGGTAAGATCGATGAAATCGGTTTGTAATTCCCTTTATTTATCCACAGACCCTACTGGTGTCAAGATGCATATATTGACGGTTTGTAATCGGGGTTTCCTAGAGATGTGTAATCAGGGTTTTCTAGTGGTTGATCTATGACTACAATCTGAGTTTTGGAAACTCCTCGAAGTTCTTGGAGGAACTGAAGACAATGGCCACAAGGAGCGACAGAGACGACTATATTCAGTAGTTTAGGACCGCCACCGTGCGCAACGAGATTGGTGATAAGGAACTATTCTACATAGGAATCCAAGATTCCAAACATTGAAACAAAAAAGAAACTTGTAGACGGATACATAGATGCATAGTATACACAGATGCAAAAGTTCATGAGAGAAATGAACCTTTCTTGTCCAACAGTATCCCAAATCTGAGCCTTGACAATTTTATCATCAACATGGATACTTCTGGTAGCGAATTCGACGTTGATAGTTGACTTTGATTCGAGGTTGAACTCGTTCTTAGCAAATCTAGAAAGCAAGTTCGATTTACCGACACCAGAGTCTCCGATCAAAACTAAATTGAACAGATGACCGTAGTCACAGTCGGCTTTGTAAGCCGCCATGATTAGATACAGAAATGTAAAATTATCTTCGAATTTCAGTGTCTGAGGAACAATTTGAGATGAAACTACTCCGCTTCTACAATTATCAAGTCTTCTGTGGGTTTATCTGAAGATCACCGAAATCGTGTCGACAAGATTCACGAGAGAGATAGAGAGAGAGAGGGGGAGAGAGAGAGGGTGGGACCCAAGCATATTAAATTTTATTTATTTTTTATTTAAAAAAAGTAATAGAAAACCTCATAAATGGTCCCTGTGTAGTGAAATGCCAAAAATGCCCCTGAATTAACGGCTAAATGGTAACGGAGTTAGCCGGAAGGACCAAATGTTAAAAGTTTTGAAACCACAGGGACGATCCGTGAGGTTTTTTGAACTTAGGGACTAAACTTGATTTTTTTGAAAACCACAGGGACCATTTTTGAAGTTTTGTCTTTAATATATTATTCATATAATATATTAATAAACCACATTTATCCTTTTTATCTATAATTCATCTAGTCAAGTTGCTTTGGTGAAGGCAACCCAAAAGGACCATGCTACAACCGGGTCAAGTACATACCAAATATAGTTATGAGATTAGACACATAATCCAACAAAGGAAAGGACTTAGACGTGAGCGTTGGGCGTTCGTGGTCAATCATCGCGTTTTTTAGTCAACTCGTGTACGCCAGACGTATAAGCTGAGTACACCAATTGTACTCGGTTGTGTTGACCAAGTTTGAATATTTAACGTTAACTTGTTTTGGCCAAGTTGACCTAAGGGTATTTTAGATATTTTGAGTGGTAATTGATAGTGCTCACTATTTGATGATTAGGTGACACGTAGAGTTAGGATTCAAAGCAGAGACCTATTTAGCTATTTGTTCATAGTAAGAGGTGAGTTTTCCTCACTATACTCGTAGGTCGAAGGCACCAATGTCGGCCAACTGGATTATGTATCATGGTTATATGTTTATTTGTTGTTGGATATATTTTATATGTTACGTATATATCGACATAGTATGGTTGATTTGAGGTAGTACTGCTTTGTGTTGTAGCCAACAAACCCAGGAGCAAGCCATACATAAATTATGGGCCCGGAAGGCAAGCCAAACTTACGTTGTAGGCTCGAGAGCAAGCTAGATATGAGTTATGGGCTCATTAGGCAAGCCAGACTCATACTGTGGGCTCAGGGGTAATCTATTCTTTTAGTTGTGGACCTAGTATATGTTGTTATTTGTTGTGTGTTGGTACTTTGGGGGAACACACTAAGATTTGGCTTACAGTTTTCAGTTTATTGTTTCAGGTACTTCAGAGGATCGAAAGCGAAGGCGTGATCGTGCACATCTTCCTGTTTTTTTTATGACATTGGATCTTGGTATACTCTTATTTTGAATAATACTTTTGAAACAATGATTTTATAAACACTTTATGGATGAAATTGGTTGTTTTTGAAAAGTTAACATTTATTGTGATTTTTGGGATGCTACAGAATACACAAAAACTGAAAAACACACAATGGTCGGGTTTTACAACACTATTCGTTTCAGTAAGAGATCGATCGGGGAGTACAGTGATTCTGTAACTCGCCTCGATAAGGGGACGAGTAATTGGCAAACTCGGCGAGTTTTACAACACTGGTACCAAGGACCAAGGTTGTTACCAAACAGTGCAAAAATCACAATACTAGAACCAAAAGTGATGCTTTAGGCAAACCATAAGAACCAAAACTCTAGTTTACTCTAATTATTATGATTATGGCTAAAAAAAAAAAAGAAAAAAAGAAAAGTAAGGATACAATGTTATAGATAAAAAAAATGAACTCACAAGCATAAAACAAAATATTAACATGTATCATAGAAAACAAACATAATTACATGAATGGTCATGTCCTTTGTCAAACTATGTTAGTTGAGTACAATTATGATAACCACTATGTGATTAGTCATGTGGTTTCATTTTTGGATGGTTGGCCATTGTGGTTTTATATTGTTTTATAATTGATCTAAAATTACTATTTTACTCTTATTTGATTTTTTATTATTTTTTCGGTTTTAAATTTATCTTTTATTTTATATATTTTATATGATGATATGAATTCTACCACAACCACCGACCATCACCACCACCTTCAGTCACCACCTAACGAACCACCTACCAAACACATACACACAAAAACTCCATCTAACTATGTTCCCCCTCTAATAAATATTGTTTAGTGACCCAAGAACATAACACACGTCCAAAACAAAGATGAAGAAACGGGTTTGTTGCTATTCACATATCTAAAATGAAACCTTAATCAAGAAATCAAATTAGTGATGTGTTTGTTCTTTCTTGAAAATAAGATGGAGAATGGTAAATCTAAAACGAAAACCACACACAAAACTCTAAAACGGAAAGCTACACACAAAACCATAATCCAGAAGTCGGAGATGGTAGTTTGAGAGATATATAACCACCATTGGCAAAGAACACATAAGAACTTCAATGAACACCGCCTAAAGTGACGGAGAATACGATGAAGATAATGGCTACCTGAAATGACAATGAACTTTGCACTCTGAAACGATAATTCCCCATGATGGAGAGAACAAAGATGGAGAGAGATAGAGGAGGGGATGGAGATGGTCTAATAGGGTTTTATTCGGAAGGGGTTGGTTTTTTTATTTTCTTTTAACATAACTTAAAAATGATATGATAGTTATTTTACATGTCTAAAGGACCAACCACGCAAAAATAGAAACTACAATGATCAAGCCGGTGACTCTTAATTGTTGTCGACTAACATGTTTTGACAAACTATAGGACCAACACATAATTTTTTTCTAGAAAACGCTAAGGTGAGGAGCTCGAAATGCAATGAAAACAATTAGAAAAGTTTAAGAGACTTAAACCATTATCTAATATTGATGTATAACCACTATTAATTCACATGATATACATATATAGTCATTTATCCTCCTACTTTTTGTTTCTACAAATCATTTTACCCAGTTAAATAGTGACATTGTAACATTTAATTCTCATTTAATAATATTTTTGTATATCAATATGACACATGTTATTATTTAAATAGATAGAATGATTGATCTAAACAAAAAATAGGAGAATATTTAATTTCTCATTTAAAAAAGACCCCTTCCATTTATTAGGTTTTTATAAAGTTGTCTAACATCTTTTTTGTTACAAAAACTTTATAAATTATATAAGTACATAAATAATCCATATATAATACATCATTACAATGGAATTAATCATTAGATTATTGAAACAAACGTTTTATTAAATAAAAAAAAATTACATTCATTACACATTGACAAATTTTTACAAAGTATTCAAGTGCTTAAATATATTTAAAGCATTTATTAATTTAAAATGTAACCATATAATTAAACTAATATAAAAAATATATAAACTTAATCATCGAATAACAGAAAATAAACTAGCAATGTATATAAAGTATAAACATCAAACTTGTAGAACTAAAATTGACATGTGAAACTTTCCATTTTTAGTGTTAGGAAATGGAGTTGGATTGGAGTATTTCGACTGAAATCCCCTAAATCTCAACAAACTCAATGTGTACTATTGAATGCTCATCAATAATACAAGTACAACATGTTCTCTCTTGTTCTAATCATTAGCAAACCATGCGAGTAAAAATGACGATTTTACCCTTTCCATGATAAATCTTAGGTTTGCTTCACTCACATGGTTTTCTGTGAGAGGTTAAAAACAGGAGAATACGTGTGTCGGAGGATGATAGTGATCATGACATAAGTGTTAGCAGCAAAGAACAATAAGCTTGCTGCCCAAAGCTGTAAAAAGACTTGTTTGCCCTTGAACTCAAGCATATAACCCCAAAACAGCCAATGAAGTTGAGCTCCAATCCAAAAGGATACACAGAAAACACCTTCCCATTTGAGCTTCATTTTTGTCCATGGCAGTATCAATGGCAACAGACAGAAGAACCACACAAAATACTGAGCTGTTATCACCTGTAAATAACAACAATATCACATATTTATATCATCATATCAAAAAAATAAAAAAATTAAATTAAATTAAATTAATTTCTTTCTATTAGTTTCTTTACCTTATTAAATGCAACAAACGCAACAGTCTGAACAAAGAAACAGAAGGAAAAATCATGCACGAAGCGGAACACCAGAAGAAGCTGCACCATCAACTGAGGCAAAAAGGAGACGAGTTTTTCCAAAACCGAAAACTGGCGTTCATAATTCAAATAAATATGATAAAAATAAATGGAAAAATTATGTCTAGGATCCGTTCGTGTTAAATGGTACAACAAGGCCTCGTGTAAGAACTCCCATTCGTATAAATAAAAGAATATTCCCGTGAAAAGGAAGAATACGGATGCTGACGTCAGCGAAAACAAGATTCTTGATCTTGAAAAGGGATTGAAAGATTTGGTGGGGCCCGAAGTGAGATGTGTTTTGTGGTGTTTTGAATTCCAGTTTGTGATAATGGGCTTTTTATTGGGCTTGAAATGGGAAGGATCAAGAATTATGACAATTGGAAGGGCGTAAATTATCGGGTAGATTCTCATGTGTACAACAACCCCATACCAAATTGCACCTTGAAAAAGATTACCTACAAATTAAAATATTGATTTTTCAAAGTAGAATATTGTAATAGGAAGAACTAAAATCAAGAATTTGATTATATAGTGATTGTACCTTTCATAAGACAAATAATGACCCATAAGATAATGGCACAAACAATGGGCTCACAGTTGCCACGTGTTCCAATTGTGAAAGTGAAAGGGTTGAAAAGCCAAACAATTACAGAGTAAATGCATAAATTTTCAGGCACTCCACGAAGCTTTAGAATCTTACGTATAAAGTAGCCCACAAGTAAATCTGCATTTTCAAGACAAATAATGACCCATAAGATGCTCTTTTTCCATGAAAGCAATAACTTTTTTTTTTCAAGAAATTGTTTACCTGAAGCAGAAAAGAGAAACTTTCCCCATGATTGATGAATAAAGGAATTTGGTGTGAGAAGAAAAGCGATCAAAGGAGAGTAACGATATGTGGATCTTTTGTAAGGGGATTTTCCAGAAACTATTAAAGCAGCAGCATCCGAGAAAACAAGGTAATCAACATCTGTATACCTAACTTCCATATGAGTATCTTGCCATTCTCCATAGACAATTAAGAAGACACGTAGAAAGGCTGAGAAAATTATAAGGGAACGAAAATTCAAAGCTTTCATTGATCCTTCAAGCTACAAGAAAAGATCATATAAGATTAGCATCCATTGATCGATATTGTATTTGAAAAGTGCTAGGTTTAATGTCAAGATTACAAATGTTCCATTTGTTTACCATGTTTGGAACTTAGGGAAAACTAGTTTGAGTCTTATGTGATTACTGGAGAGCCTTGCATATACAATGGCACTTCAATTTGTACTTGATTTCTTTCTAGTCCAACACCAATGTAGTATTGCACTACTCACTTCTTCTATGAGGCATTATTTCAAACAGTTGGTATGCATGTTGTCCAATTGTCTTATGCATCACAGAAATCACACAAGATCTATCGCAAGCCCACAAATATAAGATGAAAATCATAACCAATACATAACGAACAAGTTGAAGAAAAGGTTAGGAAGAATGATTTCTTCAAATCACCTGGGGGTACAAATTAATGACGAATCTGACCCACTTTAAAGAGTCGTGCAAAGTTGTGACGTTGATTTCTTTTTCATAGCATCTGGAGGACCATTAATCGTTATTAATCAAAGAAATCTGAAGAAGTTGGTAGCTATGGACTTCAGTCGAGCTGAATTTAGAGAATATGAAACCCCTGATCTTGTAATTCTGAGAAATCTAAGAATTTAAGAGCGGAAGAGCGCATAAAAGACGATAAATGTTACCCTTTGGCCCCTATACTTTGAAAATAATAAAAAAAAATGGCGGAAACTGAAACCCAATAAAAAGGCTTACAAATTTGCCGCGACTTCAACCACATATCAAAATGGGTCACCAGATTTCACCTCCACTGCCATTAACAGCAAACCTCCCCCTTCTTCAACGTTCTTCTTGTTTCGTTGACAATCTCGTTTTCCTTTCATCACCCATCAAACACAGATCAATTTACTCATCACCCAGAAGATCGTCGTTATCCTACCACAAACCCTCATGCCATCGAATTGAGAAGAACGCGAGATTACAGAGAGCCAGGGTTTCTTTCTTTCAGTCGACGAAAAGTGATGGGTTTGAGAACAACCTTAAACAGGAGCTTCTTGAGACTATAGCCCCACTCGATCGTGGTGCCGATGCTACTCTTGAACAACAGGAGCACGTTGATCAGGTTTGGATTTCGTAATCCTGTTGTTGAAGCAATTTAATGTTATTTCTTTGCTAATGTTTTAACTGGAATTCGAATTCACTGTTTCACATATACCATAGCATAAACATTTTGAAGATCATACTTTAATAATTGTGGAAACTACTTTATCCTCCTTGATATTCCTCAGATTGCGCGTAAACTTGAAGCAGTGAATAAGGTGAATGAGCCACATAAATCTGAATTGCTAAATGGAAAATGGGAGCTTCTATACACAACATCTCAATCAATCTTGCAAACAAAGGTGACATTTTATTCACACACAAGATTTCCATTTCACTGAAGGGTATTTTGGTCTTTTCATTAGAAGTCAAATACTTTTATTTTACCCATCATTTTTTTTGTAGAGACCTAAAATCTTAAGAGCGAATGGAAAGATTTACCAAGCAATCAATGTGGACACTCTCAGAGCACAAAATATGGAAACTTGGCCATTCTTTAACCAGGTGTTTATAAATAAATAAATAAATAAATATTAATATCCTTTAATTACAACAACTAAAATCATCTAATACATTTTTTTCAGGCTACGGCTAATTTAGTTCCTCTTAATGCAAGAAGGGTTGCAGTCAAGTTTGATGCTTTTAAAGTGCTGGGATTGGTAGGTTTAAACATGTTAAATGCAAGAAATAACAATTTACTTTCATTGATTTGTTTATTAAAATATTATAATTGGGTAATTTTTCAAAGTACAATGCCTTGATAAGAAAAAAAAGTGAAAGTAAAATGTATTGATTTGTAGATACCTATAAGAGCTCGTGGAAGTGGTCGTGGTCAATTGGAAATAACATATTTGGATGAAGAGTTAAGGTACAAAAAAAAAAAAATTAAAAGTTAAAAGTACAATGTTGTAAATTGTAACAGAAAGAAATGAAAAAAGAATTTTGTAATACACAAATATATGAAAGTATGTTGTTGTTTCTTGCATTTAGCCCTTTCTTCAATGATTTGATATTGTTCTTGTAGAATATCAAGAGGCAATGAAGGAAATTTGTTCATATTGAGGATGGTGGATCGAACCTATAAAGTCCCTCTTTAAATAAAAAAAAGTGTCAAATTTACCATAGTTTGAGCATGTTTGTAGAAGGTCAAATATGTAATTACACTTTGACCATGGATGGTCAAATGTTTAGTCAAGTAAGATGTTGATTCTTTTGTAAATTGTACACAAAAATATATATATATGTATGAAAATACATGATCACCTCCACCTTTATCTGTTTTGGAGTGTCCTCTCTCTTCTCAAGGGGTATTGTGGAAAGAAAATCAAAAACTCTACATATCTAAGGGTTTTTATAAAAGTATTGTATATTGCATTATAACATACAATTTCTCAAATACATTTATATCATATCCCTTTATGGAAAAGTTATTAAAAATCAACATCAATATCCAATTATCCATGCTATGACTTAAAAGAGATTATTATTTAATTCGTATATATTTACGAAAAATCATCTCCAATTCTCCATGCTATGATTTCACACTTGCATCATGTGGGGATTCGGTAAGAAGGATCAATCATCTTTAAAACAAACAAGTTTCCCTTATCGCCCCTTGAGACCCTATAAAACATAGTAACAATATATGTTATCTCAAGTTTTGAAAGATTTGAAATTTATGTAAATATTGAAAATTTCACCTCAATTCTTCATCCAAATATGTTATCTCAAGTGAACCTCGAGCTGAATCGGGTGCTTTAACCGGTATCTGTATGAAAGATTCATCAGTTTATTAATTACATAAATCGTGCATGGATTTTCATTTTAGACAAAATAAATAAATAAAAATGAAATAAACATATTGATATAATTTATTAAAAAAAATCTTACCAATCCCACAATCTTGAAGTAATCAAATTTCACTGCTACCTTTTTGGAGTTCACTGGTGTTAGATCCGCTGTTACCTAGAGATAGATGAAAACAAGTTAACGTAATAAATTTGTTGCATGTTATTTTTTTAGTTTCAATATGAATGGAAGACAACAGATATTAAAAAAAGATTAGTAAAATACCTGGTTAAAGGTAGGAAACGATTCCATATTTTGAGCTCTCAGTGTGTCTACATTAATCGCTTGATAGTTTACACGTGACCTAAGGAACTTGGGTCTCTGTCAAAAAAAAAAGATACTTGGTGCGTAAAAAAACAGTTGTTGTTTTTCTGTAAATCAGGTACACAACAGTCTGCTAAATAACTGACAAAAGATAAGTGTCCAATACCCATAAGGAACCCGATCCACAACAAATAAACATGAATCTTTGTAAGTAAGAGAAAAGATGAAGAAAAGAATAAAGGTAAACCTTAGTTTGTAGAATGGATTGTGAAGTGGTGTATATGAGTTCCCATTTTCCATCTAGTAAAGGAGACTTGAGAGGATCTTTTGTTGGATTTGCTGCTTCAAGTTTTTGAACTATCTAAATCAAACAATTTAGGTCCAAGCTAACCACAAACACAATAATAGATCATGAACTTTCATGGAAAAAATATAACCTACATTTCATTATTTTATGGATTTAGCTACTTTAAGTGTCTTTTTTAGTGATTAAACAATTATATTTTTTGACGTTAGGTTTTTTAAACTATAAAATATTGTATCTAGTTGTACTAGTTAACATTTTCTACATGTTAGGAGTCAATGCTTACTAGTAGACAGATGGAAATTTGACTCAAATTGTTACAATTTGGCATAAATGTTTGTATCTTTTCATAGTGTTTCTTTTGTTATGTTCCATAAAAGCTCAATTCAATTTTGGTATTGAAAAATAGTCCTTTTGAGTTTTGACTTTGACCCTGTATACCTTTGGGGCAATGAAGATCAAGAATCCAGACAGAGTATAATTCAATCCCAATTGTAAGACGAGAACCCAAATCATTGAAAGAGTTGATATTTACAAACAATTGTTTTCTATTATCAGATAAAAGAAAAAAAATAATAACTTTTCAATTTTGATTAGAATGGAAGGCTGACCTCCTCGATTGTCTGTTGGTCTTCAGCGGAAGCTTCAGCGCCACGATCAAGGGGAGCAATGGCGTCAAGAAGCTCTTCTTTAATGGGTTTGGCGTCTTTGGGTTTGTTCAAGAAAGATGTTAGAAAAGAGACATTGGTCCTCCATTTTGAGATGGGTGTAGCTGAAAAGAGGTGGTGGGTGGTGGTGAGTTTGGCCGGAAAAGTTATGGTGGAGAGGGAGGAGTGAGAGTGGAAGAGTTTAGGGAGTTGGTGTGTGGTGGTGGTGGTGGTGTTGACGGCGGTTGAGGGAGTGGATAAGGCCATAGAAACGGGAAGAATTGGTGGTTGTCGATGGTGGTAGTCTTTTTTTGTTGATGTGGGAGAGATTTTGTCAGCCAAATGGTTCGACTTGATTGGGAGAGTGGTTGGTTGTATAAATCATGATTTACTTACCAAAATTCATATTCACGTGATATAAGAATTTATATTTTCCTATGTTTTCACAATGTTATATTTAATAATTATTACTTAATTAGGACTTTAAATGATAGTAATGAATTTAAGTTGAATTTTGACGAATATATTAATAAAAGTTAGGTATCGTTAGTAGATAAATATACAAATCGGTACCACATATTAACTCCAATTTATGTTTTCGAATGAAAATGTATTATTTGACAAACCTCATATGTAGAAAACATATATAAAAATAAAGACGAAACGTACACAAAATTTAAGTTGAAATGTAAAAATTAAAAAAAAATTAAAAAAAAAAAAATTACTACAAACACGTAAATAAAAATAAGCAAGTAAGATTATTTTATTGTAAGTTAACAAATGGAAGTTTAGATAATCAAAAATATATTATATGTATTTAAATCATACATAAGAAGGGTATATAAAAATAAACATAAAACATAAAAAATTATATTGAAACGTAGATAAATTATAATTTATACTGGCACGTACAAAAAAATAATTTTTCTAAAACAAATTGCCGAACGAATGTTGTAAATTCACGTCAAAACATTGACTACATCGAATTTATACGGACACATATATAAAAATAAATACATAAAAATTAGTTTTTTTTAAATTGACAAAAGAAAGTTACTAAGGAAAATCAGAATATATATTATACATGTAAAGATGACAATTTAGAAAGTCAAGAGTCAACATAACATTTTATAAAGTCAAGAGTCAGCATGATATTTTATAAAGTCTGAGGGTGGTAACTATAGAAAAATCAAATTATATATACTACAAGTAATAAAAACAATCTTTCAAAAAATATGAGGTGAAAATAACATTTTAAAAAGTTCAAAGTTAACGAGATCAAAATAACATTTTAAAAAATAAATAGATGAAAAATATTATTTTATAAAGCCAATAGATAATACCAACAGTAACTCCACTTAACTTACCAAACCAAAGTGGTGCCATATAGATAATTTGTTTCACTAATACTAAATTATTATTTTGGATTATACTAGGGTTTTGGTTAAAGAATCAAACCGAATATTAATTTTTTATTTTATTTATATATGTTTAGTTTATTAGAGTTCTTTTTCTAGATTATATTAGAATATGTTTGGCTTGATTATACTTATTAGTACATTTTAAAAAAACAAATCATATAATTTTGGAATGTCTCAAGTCATGGCTCTTGAAAATCAAATTGTGAAACTTTTTAAATTGTAATATGTTTTTTTAACTTGATTTTAATGTAGTTTAAACTATTCAGATTTGTAATTTGAAAACCAAAATCATCTTCGATTCACGTTGGATCATATTGAACCGATCCATCCTATTCAAACAACCATGCATGGTTTTTCCTTTCTTGTATGCAAAGTTTAAACGTATAGACTCAACGTTTCCGTAAGTCTCAAGATTTGATAATTTTATTTTATTAAATATCAAACAACTGAGAAAATTAAAAAGACAAAATTCAATACAATACCTAGAAAATATAGTAAACAAACTTAATAGTATTTATGAAACTCAAATAACAATGTCACAATGTGTAACAAATCTAAACAGCAAACAAAATCAATAAAACAAATATTAAAGTAAAAGGAATATCAACCAAGTATTGTTTAAATATTAAAAAAGGAATATCAATCAATTATTGTAAAATATTAACAAACGAATATTAAACAAAGTGTATTAAATAAATATCAAGAAGCTAGTTTAGACATAAAAGCGAAACTAGTAAAAACAAACCAAGTTGTAAACAAATGGCTCTTTAAAGAATTTAAATTTAAATGTGTGAATATATAGCAACCATTTAGACATCACTACAAAAAAATTAGTGAAAACCGAAAGGACTGACAAATCTAATGGTGAAGAAAGATAGTATCAACCGTTGTGGAGTAGAAAGTAGAGCCCGACGATTGAAGAGAAGTCGGCATTTGAAGAAAGCACAAATTTAGAACAATTTAAGTGAATTATTTAGGTCAAAGTGTCAATTAAACAGGTAAATTTTATGTTTGGTTTACATGTATAAAAATCACAAAAAATATTACATTTCTTATTTACTTGTTTGGCTTTTTATAATGAGAGAGAGAGAGAGAGAGAGAGAGAGAGAGAGAGAGAGAGAGAGAGAAATTGTGGTCGGTCGTAGTTCCAACCATGACCACGGCACCCTTGGGGTGGTGTTCTCGTTGATGACGCCGATCACCACCGAATAACGCCCATACTCCATGTGTTCTTTATTTTATACACATTAATATTTGTTACCCATGATCTTTATGTCCATTTCTTTATGAATATATGAACGTTCTTTTATAAAATTATAAGTAAAATATATTACTTTTTAACGAGAATAATATTAACGAAAGTTGTAGTACACTCAAATACTAACATGTGCATATAAATATCGTTAAAATCTGAGATCGTACGAAGAAATTATAACGTTCAAAACAAAAGAGTTAAGTCAAACTTGTTAAAGTTGAACAAGACAAATCTCCCAACATCTTCATTTCTTATCATTAGAGGATTAAGAAACGGAAGGTTTTCAAGAACTTACAACTGAAAATTCACTACATAAACCCTAATCTACTCTCTTGATTTGTAACACTCAGCCTAATCTAGTCTAGCAATCTGTAAAACCCATTTGAATCAATACACAAACAAAGAGTATACACAAACTCAAAATACAGATGAACAATTGAGAGATTAAGAGACGAAGAGAAACCCTCTTTTAGAAACCTTAACTTTTGATCTGAAAATATCGACTGAATGAACAACTCTTCACTCTCTCTCTCTCTCTCTCTCTCTCTCTCTAGCTATATAATGATCCAATCAATACCCGGATTAGATCCGATTTAGGATTACGACCCGCGTGCTTCTTTTACCTGCAAGTTTCCTTTTAACACCCTAAAGAACCATTTTGAACATACAACAACCTTTTAACAATTTTTATTCCAATTATCTTAATAAGAAAAATAAATATGAGATTGTTATATATATTTATTATTTTTAACAAAACTACAAGACCTAAACAATCAAGCAGTCGATGCCACAATAGTCATAAGCATCAACAACCTCAAACACTTCATTAATGATTATCTCACGTATGATGACGTGACAAAAACCTAAAAAAAATAGTCATAAGTACTAAGTGTGTACAAAAACAACAATGGTTTATTTTGCAACAAAAAAAATATTAAAGACAAAATGTGCAAAAAATATTAAGGAATAAGTGTGCAAAAAATATTAAGGACTGAATGTGTACAAAGTGAAAAATATATTACCCTTTTAAGTTATTTTTCCCAGTTTACCTGAATAGCTGGTCATAAAGACTGTATGTTTACAGATTAACAAGTTGAAGATATAAATATGAACAGAAAAAACTCAGTGAATAAATATGTACAAATCGAAAAATATATTACCCTTTTAAGTCATTATCCCTTTTACGAACCTCCATCGTAATTATTGTGTGCGCCATCTATAGAGTAATTTCCTAAGACTAAACAAATTTGCAAATTTATTGTATGATGATATGATATTTATTAAAAAAAAGGTAGTTGTTTGTCATAGACACCCTTTCTTTTTGGTTAGTGTCGCGAGTAGCCCAATTATTTACCTATCCATGTGACCAATATTAGTATAACATTTTAGAAATTTGTGGTTATTGCATACGTCATGTGATATTCTTGTTATCCAAACAAATAACATAGTTTCAAAATTGTGTTTTATTTTAGGAACAATGAATAAGAAAAGTGACTTTTTAAACTTGTGAATAAATGATTATTATCCATCAACTACAAAAACATAACATATTGTCCCGGAAAAACACCATGTTTTTATAGATTTGTGGATAAGCTAGAAGTTATTTTCATTACAAATTTGAGTAAATTACACGAATGGTTCCTGTGGTTTGGGGTGATTTGCATGCTTGGTCCCTAACTTATTTTTTTAACTTGGAAGGTCCTTATTGTTTGTTTTTGTTACACGCTTGGTCCCTAGAATTCGTTTTTGTTACACGTTTGGTCCCTATCTTACCTAAAAAGACTATTATTTAAATAGGGAAAATGGTGATATAAGTAAGGTAATGTAAGGTGGGTAGGGTTGGGGTGTGTTTATTTTTAAAAAAATTAAAAAATCAAGGGCAAAATAGTCTTTTTAGGTAAGACAGGAACCAAGTGCGTAACATAAATAAACATTAGGGACCTTCCGAGTTAAAAAATTAAGTTAGGGACAAAACGTGAAAATTACCCTAAACCATAGGGACCATTCGTGTAATTTACTCTACAAATTTTGAATTGTAGGGCCAAAAAATTCATACATAAATCCAAAAAAATTCCACATAAAATCTGTAAACTCATACCCGAGCCGTTTTGGTAATACCGATAAATGGATCAATCATTAAACACCGTCATTGGCCACCTACCACCACCATGTGAACAAACTCACCAAAACAAACACTCCTCTTTTCTTTGTCGACAACCAAATTTCCTTATTCTGAACAAAAAGCTTCTGTATATGAATCTTCAACAGTATACTCCTTTTTTTCATCTCACATAAACAAATTCAAAAAAAATGAAAACAAATTTCCCAAAACCCCCTCAACTCTTTTCCTTAATCCTAAAACACCACCACCAAGCTTTCTGCAAGATCGTTTCCTGTTCCAACAATTCTTCTTCTTCTTCTTCTTCAGAGAACAAAAATGGTTTCAAGCTTATGCGCCAGTCTTTTGGTGATATGAAATTGCGTCTAAATGACTTCAATCGCAGTGAGTAGTATTGACCATATCATTTATTCTTCATTTAAATTGAATAATTCACTCTTTTAGTCGAAAAAAAAAGTCCTGTTTTCTTCATGGGTTTTCGTTAAATTTTATCTGTTATCAAGATTTCCATTGTGGGTTTTCCTGAAATTAGTTATCTTGATGAGAATAAGTCGAGGGTAATTTTAGTCGTTTTAAAGTCAGTTAATTGTGCAATTAGTTATCGTTTTTCTTTATTTATGTTGTGAAAGGTTCGATGCAAGATGCTTTAAACATTTGGGTATCAAAAACAACGAACTTTTTTAGCGAAGTGGCATCTCCACTTGTGAAGAATGTTCAAGATAAAAACCCTACAAAAATGGGAAACGCATATGAGATCGATGACATGGAGGAATTCTTCATGGCGGAGCAGACTGTTGATAGCAGAACAGCCGGCGGTGATCTTTCTTTGGCTGCCATTGTTTCTATTGAGCAGTTTAGCAGGTGAGCATAACCTTCTAAATTTCAAAAAATAGCAACCAACTTTCATTTATTTGTGAAAATCTACCCAATTATATAAATTGGTTGATTTTTCATTGTATAATTTTTTAATAGGAAATGCTTTATAAATAAACCAAAAAAGTGCTTTACTATTTCTTGCATTACACCTAACATTTTAGCATTTCCTGTTGACCTATTTAAAAAACAAAGATGTGAATTTGTAACTTATTTGCATTGAGTTGGAACTTACATCGAATTTCCATGTCATAAGAAAAAGAAAAAATATATATATTTATCTATTTAGGTAAACTTTGATTTTAGTTAGTATTTGTAGAAATGTAACAAAAAGCATAAACTTTCATGTGAATGGAACAAAAATGAAACTCGAGGTACCTAAGTGTAACACATCTGAAACTTGGTTACTATTTAATGACATTGTTCATAAAAATAAACAAAAAAGTTTGTAACTTTTTGAAGTTTAAGCTATGCAGGATGAATGGATTAACTGGGAAGAAAATGCAAAGAATCTTTAAAGCACTTGTCCCTCAATATGTGTCTAATGATGCACGTAATTTGGTTGAATATTGTTGCTTTAGATTCTTATCAAGAGATAGTTCCGAAATTCATCCTTGCCTTAAGGTTCGTGGGCCCAATTTACTTTATGATTTCTCAAATTTTCTTTTCATACTTTGAGCTAAAAAGGGATATTGACTTTCTTTGACTTTGTTTTGACAAATTACAATAGGATCCAGCATTCCAAAGACTTGTATATATAACCATGCTTGCATGGGAACACCCTTATGCAAATAACAAGGATTCTTGGAGTGATATCGGAGAGAAAGCTTCATTTCAGGTTCACTTTTCTGTACGTAATACTTCCCTTGTTTTTCACTACTTTTATTTTTTATAAATCAAGATACTTTTTGGAAATTAAAACTTAAGTAACTTGTTATTTATTTTTATTTTTTTTATATATATTGAAGAGGAAGCTTGTAGGAGAAGAGGCTTTTGTCCGAATTGCCCCTGCTATTTCAGGCCTAGCAGATTGGGCAACAGTGCATAATCTTTTCAAGGCTCTTGCTGGTGATCAAAGAAGCATCTCATTTCATGCATTTTCCAAATATATCAATGAACTTCTCAAGTGAGCTTCTTGCTAATATTATCCTACTTTTGTTTCTTTCTATTACACATTGCACCTTCAATCTTTTCTCTTTGGAAAAAAAAACTATCCAATTATAATATTGTACTTCAACTTTTTGATCTTGTTAGCACATTATAAACAAATAATTTTCTTGATGTTTTGCAACTGATGAATGATTATTTTTTTTTTCTTAAGAGTGTATGAAGGAAGGAAATCATATCTTCCAAAAGGAACTCCTCATATTTCAACAGAGAGAATCTTATGCCTTGGATCTAGCAGAAAGAGACCTGTTCTTAAATGGGAAAATAACATTGCATGGCCTGGAAAACTAACACTCACTGACAAAGCACTTTACTATGAGGTACATTTTGTGTCACTTTACAAAAACTTAATATTGTTTCTTTTTTACTTAATCTGGTAAGCTATATATATATATATATATATATATATATATATATATATATATATATATATATGAGTCTTTCTTTTTGACTTAATGCAGAAAGAACGACTTAATAAGCCTTTCCCATTAAGTCCTAACATTTTACAAAACTACCCTTGTTTATTTTTTCCATAACTTAATCTTGTAAGCTATATATGAATACGAGTTTCTTTTTTACTTAATAAAGAAAGAACGACTTCATATAGAAAGTCAAGAAAACGAGCCTTTCCTGATGAACTTTAAAAAAAAAAATTCTTACAAAATTGCTCTTATTTATGTTTTCCTTTGTAGGCAATTGGATTGAAAGGCCAAGGGGATGTTATTAGAATGGATCTTACAAGACCCGGGTCACGGGTCGAAAAAACACGGGTTGGCCCATTCGGGTCGGATCTTTTTGATTCTGCCATTTCTGTTACCTCTGGTCCCGAGTGAGTAAGCTTTCAAAAACTCATCTTTTTCACATATCAAGAATCTTTATCATCAACTCACTAAAATACATTCCCAAACTTATCAGATTAAAGCCATGGGTACTTGAATTTGTTGATTTGGGAGGTGAAATGAGGCGAGATGTATGGTATGCTTTTGTTAAAGAAGTCATTTCTTTATACCAATTCGTACGAGACTTTGGACCTAAAGAAGGTGATCAATCCATACACCATGTTTATGGTGCTCAAAAGGGCAATAAACGTGCCACATCTTATGCCATTAATAGCATTGCAAGACTCCAAGCTCTTCAATTTAGTAGAAAACTCCTAGACGAGCCTACAAAACTTGTCCTCTTTTCATATTTACAAAACGCACCCTTTGGAGAAATCGTTTGTCAAACTTTAGCAGTAAATTGTTGGGGTGGACAATTGACTTCAAGATTTACAAAGATTGAGTCATCTTCAAATGAAGGAGCTTATAGTAGTAGTCATGTGTTTGATATTGATGGAGGTGTTTATTTAAGGAAGTGGATGAGACATTCTTCATGGAGTTCTAGTAGTTCGGTTGCTTTTTGGAAGAATAGTTTGATGAAACATGCACTTGTTTTGAGTAAAAATCTTGTGGTTGCGGATAAAATGTTGGTTGAAAAAGCATCAAAAATATTTCGGGAAAAATACACGGAAGTTGAAAAGACACAAGCTACAATTGATGCTGCCATGATTGAAGGGATTCCTAGTAACATTGACCTTTTCAAGGTTAAAATTCATAATATCTTTTAGCCTTTATTTAGACCCCATTTGTTATGCAGAACAAGACATGACAAAACAGGTTGTACTGTGGTTGGTGTGATTGGGACCAAGACTGAGACCGATATCAATGGGACAAAAGTTGACATTTTTGCCCCACCCGATACATATGAACTAAAGACAAGACTTGCTCTTCGACCTCTCGTCTATGCAAAAGACATAAATGCCCTCCTCATCCTCATCATCAAAAACATCCCTAAAAAGTTTGTCTAGTCCCATACTGTCAGTCCCACGTAACAAACACAACCTTAGTCAAAATATTGAAATTCATAGCATCTATATAATATCTTTCATCATTTTCTTTTTATACTTTAGGAGCTCATACTTCCTTTAACATTCATTGCAAAAAACTTTGGAAAACTTCGACGTTGGGAAGAACCACATATGACCACATCTTTTCTTGCATTTTTATACGCACTCATCTTCAGGTAAAAACCTATTAAATACTCTAGTATAAAGTATTTACATACATGGAATAAGTAAAGCTTTATACTTAGTTATGTCTTTCTATAAGTTGAAACATACTTACAAGGTATAATGCTATTTTGGGTTTCAGGAATTTGTTATCTTATGTCTTCCCAATAACATTGATAATTTTGGCATCAAGCATGTTAATATTGAAGGGGTTGAAAGAGCAAGGGCGCCTTGGAAGAACATTTGGCATAATCACCATACGTGATCAACCACCTTCTAACACCATTGAAAAAATCATAGCTGTTAAAGAAGCCATGCGTGATGTGGAAAAATATATGCAAAATATTAACATTTCTCTTCTAAAAATTCGCACTATCCTTCTTGCAGGTCAACCTAAGGTTAGTTAATACTTATCCACTTCATCAATCTTTCCTTTTTTGGAAAGTGATACTTTTGTTCCATTGACATCAGTCTCGGTCTTGGTCCCAATTCAAGCCAAACACAGACGCAGTACGACCTGTTCTATCCTGCATAACTACAAAATGCGGACTATAAATAGTTTTTTTTTTTTTTTTTTTTTTTTCAGATAACAATGGAAGTTGCCATGGTACTTTTGTTGGGTTCTGTGGTTCTTCTTACTATACCTTTTAAATATGTTCTTTCCTTTCTTGTACTTGATCTTTTCACACAAGAACTTGAGTTCAGGAAAGAAATGGTTAGAAAGCTCAAAAGCTTTTTAAAAGCTCGTTGGAATACAGTGCCTGCTGCCCCTGTTTCAGTGTTGCCATTTGATGACAAAGATGCCAAAAGTCAAAACAAGGAAACAATTGACTTTCCAAAATTAGAAAGAACTCGGGATAAGCAGTAAAGTCAAAATCCATTTATCGTGTTGTAACTTTTACTCGATAATATTTGTACAGAGATTGATTTTGTTCATAGAATTTAGGTAGCATGATTATATACTGTACAGATGATCTCTTCAAGATATAATTCGGATTTGAATTGCTATTGGCAAAAAAAACATGAAAAATAGCCATATGTAAGGCGTTGACTTTGACCTCGTTGACCCGTTACATACAAGTTTATTATCATGATACGAGCATTGTTGTGTCTGATTCCTGCAATTAGCGGGAAAAAAAACAAAGTCAAAGTCGATAAATAGTTCTTATCGAATTTTCTTGTTTGCATATTATAATAACTCGTCCCACATGATGAAACAATCACAAATTCAAGTGGGGTTGTTTATACTTTATACAACGGATCCCTTATTAATCTTTAACATAACAATTAAAAAAATGTTATTTTTTATTATTACAAAAGCCTAGACATGAAATTTTGTATAAGCTTAATATCAAATATGGCATCTAAATTAATATGCATCTTAAACGTGTCACTTCTATTTTAGCAAGCTTTCATAACATAAGATATTTAGAAATTAGAAAACAACTAATTAAATATCATAATTGTTATGTTCCAATAAAAATAGTGCGAGAATAAAAAGAATACGCCACTCTATTATTAGAATATAAATACATAATGTTTTTGATGCGTTATTTAGTGTGGCTGGAATGGAAATAAAATTTGGTGATAATGTGTTTTTTGGTGTTATGGTAGTTAGAAAATAAGAATCGTATGTTATTCGCTAAATTTAAGTTGTGGGTTTATTTTTACACATACCTTGGCGAACAAAATGAGACCACAAAATCCGTAGTAGAACATGTTATAATGCTGGTGGGATCATCATAAGCATAGCTATATGCAACGGGGCAAGCCGTTTTGAAAATCTTTGAGTAATTTGTTGCCACACACGTGACTGGATTCGAATACATTCCTTTACAACAAAACTCATCGGAATCAAAAACATTACACGCACTCCGACATGCAACCGTTTTCCCATCTAACCGGAAACTTAGCTCCGGTGGGCAGTTAACCCTAAGATCCGTATCACACCCAACAATACTACATTCCCCTTTCCCTTCAATCGGTGTAACCGTAAGTGGCAAGTTGAATCCATCTACAAGGCTAACATCGTAAAAAGCAGTGTCACCGAGGGTAAATTCGGCGATTGATGCGGGCGGGGTGCCTGGGGTGGTGCAAGTTAGCGTTGTACCGCATGATCCGGTTTGGCACGTGCCGTTGCCGTTTTTGTCGAAATTGCATCCTGTTCTGCCCCATATTCGGCCGCCCCACCCTGATGGGGCGGCGTAGATGGCGGTTTCGCCTGGTTTCAGGATGAAACCGCCACCTGGGAGGGTGGTGTTGGTGGCGGTTATACCCGGCCAGATGGTTTCGTGACAGTTGTTGATGATTGTGAGGTTCATGCAATTTGACAAGTTTGCTATTGATAAAAGGGTAAATAGGAGGATGATTTGAATGGGAGAGTGCATGATGGTTAATGAGTGTAGTTGGTTTGGTTGTGTGTGTGTGTGAAAGAGTGTGTGAGTGTGTGTTTTTATATTGGAAAAAGAAATGGGAAGAAAGAGTGTTAAGGAGTGATAGAATACTTACTCATCACATTATACCTTGCTTCCACCATTTTTGTATGCTCATATCTTCCTTGTGACACCAGAGTGTTTTATGTACCATACTACAGAATCATATGTGCACTTTATTATTATTCTAACAATTTACCATACATCCTTATAATAACAACTTATCAAATAATATTGGGAATTTGCTAACATAATAATATCTTATTAACATCGTTGGACCATAAATTAGTAAGTTAACAGTCGAATCCCATTTTTATACATAAAGATTGGGGTTTTAAATCTTTGATTTCTTTTAAAAAACAACAGTTAGTTTCGGTTATTCAATATATACATCTCATAACATTAATTAAAAAAATTAGAAATTTCTTTTATTTACCCAAAAGGTAAAAACTATAAAAAATATCGTAAATGACCACACACACAAATTATATTATTATCTTTAAATGAACCCCAATATATTAAAGGGATGAAAATTTTAAAGCGAATGAGCTCCAACATCTAGTTTTCCACCTTTATTTCATTTAAACTTGATTATCTCATATATTTAGCTTTCTAAAACATATATCAAAACGACTTGACAAGGATATAATCGAGTCTAGTTGATATGTAACTTTTTTTTTTAAATCACTTTTTACCTTTTTACTAACATTTAAACAGGAATCCATTTTATAGAGATGATTTGGTCGTTTAATGCCATGCCATTTTGAGGCCGTGTATCTTCTTCCGATTTGAGAAGATGATAGAGGGCAATTTGGGAAAATAAAAACTATCGGAGGGAATGGAATGAAAAAATGGGGGTACCCCAAGAAATGAAAACTCGGTGATTTGAAATTTTGAATGAATGGAATTGCTTCCATGATGGGTCTTTCCATTCCTTACCAAACATGCCTTTTTCCATTACCCTTCAATACCATATTCCATTCCACAGTTTGGCATCAGTTGAATGGTGTTTTTCTGTCAAAAGCAAAACATGCAACCTTGAACCTAAAGTTCATATAATCATGCTGTTCAAAGGAAGTCTCGGATGGGTCTAATTGGACCAACAAGATGGTCTTGAGCATGTGATATTAAAGTTGGTGTTTGATCCTGTATTCAACAATCATGAAAGCGAGGATTCAATCTGTCGTCGAGAATGGGAGCATTCTCTTTCAGCAAAATAGCAAGATAACCCAGTTTGGCAAAACGGGTAGGGTCGAAGAAGCCTGTAAATTGTTCAACGAAATGACTCATCGGAACACTGTGACATTCAACTCGATGATATCTGTCTACGCGAAAAATAGAAGAGTTAAAGATGCATTAAACCTATTCGATAAAATGCCTCGCCGCAATCTTGTTTCTTGGAACACGATGATTGCGGGTTGTTTGCACAATGACAGAGTCGAAAAGGCACGTCAGCTGTTTGATCAAATGCCTCAAAGAGACGTTTTCACCTGGACTCTGATGATCACTTGCTATACTCGGAACGGGGAGCTTGAAAAGGCTAGAAATTTATTTAATTCAATGCCTGATAAGACGAACCCAGCTTGTTGGAATGCTATGATTTCAGGCTATGTAAATCATAGAAAACTTAAGGAAGCTAGACAACTGTTCGATGAAATGCCTGTGAAAGATTTAGTCTCTTGGAATTCAATGCTTGGAGGTTATACCCAAATTGGAGAAATGAGTATAGCTTCAAAGTTCTTCGAGGAAATCCCAGTCAAAGATGTAGTTTCCTGGAACTTAATGGTCGATGGGTTTTCTCAAATTGGTGATTTCGATTCTGCTTGGAGTTTCTTCAAGAGTACCCCGAATCCAAATATCATTTCTTGGGTCACAATCTTATCTGGGCTTGGTAGAAACGGTCAAATCATGGATGCCAGGAAACTGTTCGATGAAATGCCAGTTAAGAATACAGTCTCATGGAACGCCATGATAGCAGCTTACGTCCAAAACTCCCAAATCCATGAAGCTTTAACCCTATTCAACCAAATGCCAGAAAAAAACGCAGTCTCGTGGACCACCATGATCAATGGATATGTACGTATTGGTAACCTAGACCAAGGCCGCCAACTGCTCGATCAAATGCCTTACAAAAACACCGGAGCTCAAACTGCAATGATCTCAGGATTCGCCCAAAACAATAGAATCACCGAGGCCCGTGATATCTTCAATCAAGTACACAATCGAGACACTGTTTGTTGGAACACGATGATTGTGGGTTATGTTCAAAACGGAATCATGGAGGAAGCACTCGATCTTTTCAAAAAGATGGTGAAAAAAGACGTGGTTTCTTGGAACACCATGATCGCAGGTTATGGTCAAGTTAATCAAATGGATAAAGCCCTTGCGTTCTTCAACAAAACAGAACAAAAGAACATAGTCACTTGGAATTCCTTAATTTCGGGTTTTACCCATAACGGGTTTTACATTGATGCATTCAAGTATTTTGGATTAATGTTACAAAATGGTTATAAACCAGATGAATCTACATATGCTTCAACTTTAAGCTCATCCGCAAATTTAGCATCTTTACAATTGGGGACACAAGTTCATCAGATAGTTTTGAAGACAGGTTATGAAGAAGACATATATGTGACAAACTCTTTGATTACTATGTACGCAAAATGTGGTCACATGTCAAGGGCAAAACGGGTATTTTGTTATACCACACGGACAGATGTCGTCTCGTGGAATTCTTTAATCGATGGGTATGCTTTGAATGGATATGGGAAAGAGGCAGTGAAGGTAATGGAGGCTATGGAGGTCGCCGGAGTTATCCCGGATGAGGTCACGTTCATTGGTGTTTTATCTGCGTGTGGCCATGGTGGTTTGGTGGATGAAGGGTTTAGGGTTTTTGAATCGATGGTTAAAAAATACTCGATTGATCCATTGCCGGAGCATTATGGTTGTATGGTGGACTTGCTTGGAAGAGCAGGGAGGCCGGAAACCGCCTTACGGATGGTGGAGGAGATGAAAATGGGTGGTAACGCGGGGGTGTGGGGTGCTTTGCTTGATGGTTGTCGTGTGGGGGGTGATTTTAAGGTGGCCGAAGTTATGGCGGAGAAGCTGGCGGAGATTGAACCGGAGAAGGCTTCGGGTTCTGTGATGTTGTCGAATGTGAATGCGGCGGCAGGGCGGTGGGAGGTGGTGGAGAGAGTGAGGGAGAAGTTGAAAGAGAGAAGAGGATTGAAGCAACCGGGGTGTAGTTGGATTGAGGTTAGAAATCAAGTTCATGTCTTTGTGTCTGGTGAGGGGTTGAAGGGAGAAAATAGTAATTTTGGTGGTGACTTGAAGGCACTATTGGCTCATGTTAATGACACAAATGAAACTTTTTTTGATGCTACATAAATTAGTCATAAGAAATGTAAAGGTTGAATAACTATGGTATACGATTAATGTTAGTTATGCAAAGTCAATTAGATGTTGGAAAATTCTACAAGGATCATGAACTTCAAGAAATATTAAGATGATGGAAGGATAAAATGGTAAAAGTTGTCTAGAAACTTCCTTGTAAATATCTAGAACACAATTTTCTACAACAGCTTCCATTTATTTGCTTGTCTACTATAAATAGATAGTTACTTGTAATTTGTTTGTATACATATCTTATCTTGACTTCTTGAGTAGACAATGTAGTTCTCTCCTATATAAGCACTTGAAGAGTAATAGAGAGATTATAATTTGCATTTAGTTCTTGAGTTGTTCATACATGGTTTTACTTGCTTGCTTTGCCTTGTTTGACATAGAGGTTCGATTTAGGTTGATTTGGTATGAGGACTAAGTGTCGGACAATGAACTTGTAGAAACAAATTCATGACAAGCATAACAAGTGGTATTACAATGGGTTCGTTTAATGCATAGGAGAAGGTTCAAGAACAAGAGGGGTTGGGAAGTGGAAAAAGGAGATTCAAGACAACATAAGGTGCATCCTCAGCATCCCAAGATATCCATGGACTATGAGAATCGATCACTGAGGAGTTTCGTTAATCCATAATGAGTTGGGTACATGATCTATAGTGAGTAGGACACGTGAGCTATAGTGAGTGAGATTATGGAATGTTAGTAGGAGAGCTTGCAAAGTTAAAGAAACAAATAGAGGGAGAACTTATGCGCACATATATAACAAACTAACATCACTCCTATCGTTGCTAACGTAGGTTACACACGTAAAACATATAGCCAATAATATTGAATATGGAACATGAAAGGAACATACATGTATGTTATGATTGTTATAAAAGTTAATTAAACTAAATGTGCAAACGTTTGTACATGTAATTAACTAAATTGGGAGACTCCGATCTTCTTAGCATGACCAAAAAGGCGTATCTGCCCTTAGGTGTTGTCAAGGGAAAGGTGGCCAAGCCCTAGGTGAAACCTGATGCTACTTGATATTTAAGGAGTTGTCATAAGGCACTGGATAGTTAATGGTCAATTGTAGTTTAGAGAGAAAACATTTTCTTGTGGGGTATAAACTATGATGCATGGAAACGCCAATTAGAGGCCATACCCGTATCTGAAACGTGGGGAAACGGTCGGGAAACGTTTCTGGGACGTATTAGAAACGTTTATGGTAAGTTTCCTCAAAGTTTCCATTTTTTTTTTTTTTGCATGGGCTTTTTAAGTCCAAAAAGGCTAATGGAGTAATGGGCTATAGTAATCGATATTACCCTACAACTACAAGCCTAAACCAATCACTGCCTCCCTGGTTAATTCTAATCATTTACTGCCTTGCTGTCGTCGATCCAAAACAAGAAAAAATTCAGCAATCAGTCACCTCTCACCAATTCAGAAATCATATCGACTATTATGGCTTCTCAAGAACAAGAAACACAAGGACCATCATCAAGTACATCAATAGACCAACCTCCATTGTGGGACTATGTGAGTAAACTCGAAAAACTTGCTGGAGCAGGAGGATGTTTGTAACATCCTCAAAAATACGGCCAAAATTTTCGTTTTTAAATCATTAATAAAACCATAATTATCATCATCATAAATCATGTATCTCAAAAATATCATAACAGCTGTATCAAAATCACATATCAAACATCAGAGTGAAACATCTCAGGCTAAAAAGTTGTGGTGTGTGTCATGCAGTCATCCCGAGCTCTTTATCTTGCTAATGGAAGTATCTGAAACCAAAACTGAAAACCGTAAGCACGAAGCTTAGTGAGCTCCCCAAACTATCAAATACCATACACATAACATATAACATAAACTTTGGGACTCCGCCCAATTGCATCGGGACGAACCCGACATCAAGATTGCCCCGGCATACATACAACATATCATAAGCATATAAACATAAGCACATAACATAAGCATATAAACATTCATCGGGCTTGCCCCGACATCGGACCGAAGCCCGGAACACATGACACATAACATATAAGCTAACATGCATCGGGCTTGCCCCGACATCGGACTAAAGCCCGGAACACATAACACAAACACATGCAAGAATCACGAAGTCATCAAGCATACAAACATTCATCGGGCTTTCCCCGACATCAAACCGAAGTACGGAAACATATAATCTACATCGGGGTAACCTCGACATCGGACCGAAGTCCGGAAACATATAATCTACATCGGGTTAACCTCGACATCGGACCAAAGTATGGAAACATATAATCTACATTAGGCTAACCCCGGCATCAGACCTAAGTTCGGCATATGCTAACATACATAAACAGGCCGGCGTTGGTGCCTTCAACCCGTTCCTACTAGAAGAAAACTCACATCTCAAGCTGTCTGCTGAAATCTCATGTGAGGAATCTCTTATGGCTACTTCAACGACTCCCCGGCTATCATCAACACAAAACACTTAGTCAAATTCTGATAATTTTCACAGGGTAAAATAACCATTTTACCCCTGGTCATAGTTAGCATTCTGATTTACTCAAATCGCCTGTTTTTTCGGATGGCTGTCACGGCACGGTCAGTGGTTGGCCACAACATGGTGGCTGACTTTTGATCAGTTTGACTTTTGGTCAAAGTTGAGTAGGACTGTGTTTTTTTTCTAAGGAATGGTCTCAGTTTGACATTAGGTACCATGGTATGATATTTTGTTACTGAGGTAGTTGTTGCGCTTTTGATGAGTAGTTTAAGTGAGTCTTCTCGATATACTATATAGGTTGTTGGACTGTCTTTGTGACTTTAGCATGATAGGAGGACCATGGCTCTTGTATGGAAGATCATTGGAGGACCATAGCAACTACATGAAACACCATGGAGGACCATGGTATCCGTACGAAAGACTATAGGATGACTATAGCAATGAAGATTGTAGGAGGACTGCAGCATTGAATGACTATAAGACTTTGGGGGGACAACAACATTCATATATTTTGTAACATCCCATTTAAGATAGAATAATTAAATAATAAATCTGGAACCCCGAGCGGCAATTATTATTATTATTATATGTTATTATAGTCCAAAATCAGATAATAATTAGTGGAGTGTTGGTTTCGGGGTGCCAACTGATATATTTTGATTACCGAGGGTTAAAAGTGTGAGTTTCGGATGGGTTTCGTAAATAATTATGAGGGCAAGGACTATAGGGTAATCATTGGGACTTAATATGAAGAGATGTTGGAAGCTAAGGGCTAAATGGTAAATTTCGGACCCAATTTGTAAAGAACTTTGATGGCGGGGGGTAAAAAGGGAAAATATGGATCTTCTTTGAAAGAAAAAGGAAAATGAGGGGTTGTTATAGTCAATATGGGTTGAAGTTTAATAAGGGACGGGATATATGAGGTCACCATTCTCGGTAACCCTAAGCCAACGCATGATACAGCCGACACCCTACCCCCCTCTTCATCCTCCAACCTCCATCTTCTTCTCCCTCATCTTGCTGCCATATCCCTTCTCCTTCATGCTGCTCCGATCAACCAAGGTCGCTAACGGGCCTTTGCTGCCGACGAAGACGGAGGACCATTGCCCATAGTTGATCCAGTCGCGAGAGTTGGAGGCGAGCGACCATGGACTCTGTGGTGGTTTGTGGGCGGGTCGCACGCACCCTCCTTTCTCCAGCCTTCTATCGCGCTCCTCAGAAATGCTCGTCATCGCCATCACCACCAAGAGCGTCAACGGTTGGTGCTACTGTTGCTCATGAATCGTGGTACACCGCTGCCACTACCGAAGATCAAAGATGAGTTTAGGTCCAGTGTTGTGGTCATGGGAGAAGCAGGTCAGATCAATTGGGTTGAGACTCGATATTGCCGTTTTCCGCCGACCGACCGTCATCTGTGCTGCCGATAGCCGCCTCCTCGTGTCACTGTCATTGCCTCACGCCACTAGGTGGGTGGTCGGATTCCTTTTGCGAGCAAGACTCTGTGTGTGTGTGTTATTAGTGAGTGTATGTGTGTTTATTAGTGTGTTTGTGCGTATTGGTTAATTAGGGTTTAGCATTGTAATTGTAACAAAATAGGAATAATGAAAAGAAGTTCCATCACCACCACCGTGAGGTGGTGGTTGCCGCCACCAGCCGCCGTGTCGGGTGGCGATGTGCTTTGATTGCGTTTGGACGTCGTTTGGGGGATGTTTGGACAATGTGGGATCAATGAAACCCTAATGGGCCTAAAGAAAGCCTAGTGGGCCCAGTCGAACCCTAATGGGCCAATAAGGCCCAAAGTGACCGAAAAGCCCAACCAATTGATTAATGGGCTAATATTAGGTAGGAAAACCCTAATTTGTGGAAATTGATCGGGACACACGCACACGGGAATAATTTAATAAACTTGAATTTTAAATTATAATCATTGGTAAATTAACCTAAGGAAATAATGGACTTGATGGATTAAGTCTTTAATGAGTTAAGTGAGAAAGACTTAACCCTAATTGTTATTTTATCTGAAACCCTAATTTCACTCGGGCTTTATGTTGGGCCTTTCTATTGGGCTTTGGTAATTGGATTATTATGGACCATCCCAGAATGATCATATGGACTAGAATATGTTGATGGGCTTTAGGGTAAGGCCCATATGAGGGGTTAGGCCCAATTTGGAAAATTAGGCCATAGATGGGACATAGTCAGGGCCTTTATGATTATATGACATTGGGCCATATGTTGGTCTTGGGCCTATTACTTGACTTTTGGGTCTTTAGAGTGTGAGTTGGACCTTAGGCTCGGAACCCAATTATTAATTGGGTATTGTTTGATGTTGACAGTTTCGGGAATTTGTCAACCAGCAGTTGGAGTTTTATCTGCAGGACTTCAGCAATGCTAGGTGAGTTATCCTCACTATACTCAAGGGTCTAAGGCACCATGGTCGGCCCTTTTGATTGTTATCTGGTTATGTATGCTAGTATGATCTGTTAGATCGATATCCTGGTAAATA